TGCCATCATGAACAACGACCCCAACTTCACAGAGACCATTGATGAAAGCAAAAGGGAGTGGCTCATCTGAGGGTGGCTCTCTGGCCATGGGTGGGGAGGTGCGGGGACAGAGCCCCGGCCGCACTCTGGAGCACACCGTTCGGTGTCAGCACACGTCGCGTTAGGAGCAACGGAATGTGTGAGACTGAACGCCACAAAAACAATGATGATAACACTTTTTAATACTCTTTATAGCTGAGTTTCCCCATCGGTATCAAAGCAAAATAATACAAAAATGCTTTTAGAGCTTAAGCAATGGTTGGAATTCGTAGGTCCTATGGGTCCTGGGGGTCCTATATCTGTCTTATTTCGTGTGTGTTTAGAAGTGTTCTGAAAACCGTGTACCAGGGCACGTTTTCTATGTTTTTAAGCGCCCTTAGAAGGTGGATATTTTTTCTTGAGAAGAGCTGATAAACATACATGTGGCCTCCAACATTCTCTTCCTTTTGCATATAGTCAGCTTTAATAGACAACACTAGTACCTAGTCCGTGTTCACATGATACTTCATTTGGTATCCTACAACATTGAAAGGGAAAGACGGGGGCAAACACAGCCTGGGTGCCAGTTTTGACTGGAGAGACCTCAGGCCGCCCCGAGTCTCTGTGGGCCTGCCTGACACAGCAGTTGTAAGAACAGGGTATCTGCACCTGTTGTGTAAACAGCACAACTGGAGAGAAGCACTGAGAATCATGGAAAGTACCTTCACACTGGAATTGTCGGTTCAGTTTTTCATTGGCTTCTAAGGGAGCATGCTGTTCTATGTACATAACCTTGGACCCATTTGCCATCTATAACTTGCAGCTGTGACTCTTCTGTTACAAAGGATTTCTCCTGAGCTCTCCCGGAGACGTGTCGGGTTGCATTGCCTGTGGACGGAGTGCCTCCAGTGGGCATTGGCGCCAAAAGATGGCCTCCTTGCTCCTGTTTCATGGAAAGGCGTGCCAAACACATGGCACCTTCTGGGGAATGTGGAATTTCAGTTGTCTTTTATTTTGCTTTCAATTTCTAGTTTTTAACCCCCATGTGACAAATCCCAGCACACAGCATCCTCTAAAGGGACACATCACAATAAAGCCCACTTGTTACTATTGCTCCTGTGGCCCTGACTTCGGAATGCTGTGGGAGACACCGCCATGTTGGGTCATCCCCGCCACGCACTGCTCCGTCCAGAACTGACGTCCCGCCGCGATTCAGGGTCCTCTCTGGCACACACACCTCGAGTTCACCACGAACCTGGCTGTTGCCTCTCAAAGAACAGACTTGTCTTGCCAAACACACTGCTCAGTTTAATCAGGAGCCTTGACTCCTTGACTATTTTAAAATAGTGGATTTGTGTGGTCAAATGGGAACAAAACTCCCTATTGGAGCATCAGAAAAAAGCCATTTCATTTATTTATTAAAAAAAAAAAAAAAAAGAGTACGCCAAGGTTATGCCCACTGTGACTAGTAGGGACAAACATGACCCTTAGGATTTCTTATGCTTAATAAGCACTTTTTAAAATGTTAGATTGTGACATTTTGAGGAAGTAAAGATGGTGGCTTTTTTGCTTTTCTTCCTGGAAAGGGTGAGATGAGAGTGAAGGGCACAGGTCCTGTTTTCCCATTGGCCTTTCTCAACAAAATGGAAACTCACTGGTTGGGATTGCAGCCCCCACTCATCAGGATTCTAGGTGTGCCAGACCTACTGGAGGACCTTCCCTTCCTTGGGTGATGGGAATGCCGTCCAACCTGCAAATGGCATATGGCGCCTGCATGGCCCATTCCACAGGCAGTAAGGGACCCACGGGTCCCCACAGAGTCAAGTAACAGAAGAGAAGGGGACAGGTGCTGACCTCAGGCATAATCATGAACCCTGACCTTTCAAAGGTCTAGATCATTCTATAAAATGCATTAAAATCATGAAAATCGTTAACAGGACTAATTTGTCAAAGCAGTGAAAGTTACAGATGCTGTATTGCAACCAAGGCTGCTTGTTTAACCCAGGAGACAGATGCCCTGAAGGAGTCTCTTAGGTATTGTGACTGGAAAAACACCTCCTGAACCTAATGTTTTAGAGATGCTTCTGATTGTGTTAACACATTTGACAGGTGTTAATCTGCATTTGAAAATCAAGCCCAACAGAAAGGCCTTTCTTTCGTTCCCATGAGAACTCCACTCCCTGTGTACCGACTCAGCATTTCCTCTTACGACCCAAGTGATTGGGGTGTTCAGAGACTCAAGAATGGCCCCTGGTCCCGAAATGTCCTCCCCCTTCCTCTTCCCCCTCTTCTCTCCTTCCTGCCACAAAAGGTGAAAAGTAAAACCCAGACTTCTCACACCTCAGGCCCTGGACCACCTGGAGGGACACATGTTCGCCTACATGCACATCAGTTCAGTTCACAGAGCTAGACACAGCCCTCTCCTGGAGGTGGTACGGTCCGCAGAGACACAGACAGTGGCTGTGGTAGTAACTAAGCACCAGTGGGAGCCGGACATCTCGACTTTGATGCTGTGGGCATAACAAGAACTCCATATCTGTTCATGAAGGCCACTTCCAGAACATTCTAAATGGTGGCTCTGATTTGAACCTTTTAATTTTTTTTTCTTTTTTCACCATCTTAGCAGGTACTTTTCACTAAGAAACACACACATCTAGTTTAATTCCAGCTACCCAGCCAACAAACCAAAACTCAACCCACTGCCCTCGAGTTGGCTCTGACTCACAGCGACCCCCCTCCTTGGGCTTCCGAGGAGGTATCACTACAGAAGTAGATTGCCCAACCTTCCTTCCGAGGAGTGGCTGGTGGGCTTGAACCACCATCCTTCTGATTAGCAGTCACATGCCTTGGGCACTACGCCACCAGAGCTCCTAGATCCTTGATCGCATCCATCCCAATTCACTGTGACCCTCTATGACAGAGTAGAACTGACCCATGGGGTTTCTGAGGCTACAGTCAGTGGGAGCAGGTTGCCAGTCTTTTCTCCCAGGGAACATGTGGGTGGAATCCAATCACCAGCGTTTCAGTTAGCAGCAGAGCGCTGAACCACTGCACCACCAGGGCTCTTTGAAATAGCTGCAAAGCAAACATGAGCAGCTTGCTCGGCTGGTTAGGGCTAGCAGCCACTGGGTGCGTTTCTTAGTGGTATTTTGGGGAGAGTGGGCCGGAAGAGTCAGCTTGCAGGTCCTATCCCACCCCCATCCCTGTCTGGCTATGTGACCTTTGCCAGGTCACCGAGTCCCTGTCCCCTCTGTGCCCCAGACCAGAGGTGGGCTGGCTTATCTACTTCGTGGTACAGTGGAGAAGAGTCACTGGTTCTAGGCCCAGATGTAAAGGCTGCCAGGCAAAGACACACCTCTTGTCTGGGCCACAGGTCACAACAAAGAAGCAAGGTGGCAAGTCCAGGAGTAGAGAGAGGTGTGGACATTGCCACCCAGCTGCTTAATTATCAGTGGGGCAGACAGTTGGGGCGTAAGCTGTTAGCATTAGGGCTGCAACACCCCCAGAGGCCAGAGAAATCAGAAGGTGACCGCACAAAGCCCCGAGCTCCCTGCTGGGATGTGACTCAGTCCCTCCTGTATACATGCCCCCAGCACGAGGGGGCTGCTGATGCACAAGCCAAGCACGCACACACACACACACACACACACACACCCTTCACTTCGCCTGGGGATTCTGTGCGTACCCACTTGGCCCTGCATGATGGTTTTGCAAACTTCCAGGTAGACCTCTTGCACAACGGTATTTATTTTTCTGCATGAGTGGTACATAAATGCGTCATCAATGAAACAAGGTCGTGTTCAAAAGGCGGCCGGCCTGTCATGTCCCATTGAGTAGACTGGCAGAGGATGGCAAAGGCATAGGGGCTTACAGTGTGACACACACATGTTGTAGGCTTATTTCCAGGCGAAAATGTGCTTTACTGTGTGCGTCGGGTCTAAGTCCCAACTTATTCAGAGTCTCTGGACCCTGGGGGGCGAGGAAGACGTGGTGGCTCCTCTCGGTCGGCCTTGAAGCCATCACGTTACTGAACCCCAGTTCTGCTGTGTTGGGTTTTTAACGTTGTTGAGTGAACATGGTGACTGCCGAGGTTGTCGCTGTGACTTTCTGTAAAGTCCATGGGGGTCCCACCCTGTGCCATGAGACCACCTCACCCTCTAAAGCAACAGCATGAAACTGAGAGCGAAAGAAAGGGTGATGTGTGTATGCCTAATATTCGTTGTGAATGTCCTTCATTGAAGTAAAATTATATTAGAACCAGATTGATAAATAAAACTTCAAAATAGTTTTAATTATCCTAAAAGTGATCCTTTGTGTTTTGTACACTTGATGCCCTAAATCAATGTTCGACCCCCACAAGACGGCTCCTAGCACGGCGCGGGGTCCACTGGCTGAGGATCCTTGCAGAGCTGTGGAGAGACAGTTACTCCGCACACCCAAAACCAACCAGTTGTCGCCCTGCCTCACGGCGCCCCGTGTGTCGGAGAAGTGTGCCCCGAAGTGTGCTCTGTAGCGTTTGCACTGTGTGCTTTCAGCAGAGCGCCGGACTTTCTCGAGGTGCCTCCAAGGGTCTTATTTGGAGGCATCCATGTTGACCTTCTCCCGACCCCTGTACCCCGTCTTTTCCTTAAAGAGCGTAGTGGGGAACAGCGCCATCTGCTGGCTTAGTTTGCACACAGCTTGAACAAACGTGCTTGGAGCTCAGTGACAGCCTTGTTTGCCCCCTACTTTGGAAGGAGGTGGGCGCTCTGGTGGCTTAGTGCCTAAGGCACTTGACTGCTAACCAGAAGGCTGGCGGTTCAAACCCACCAGCCACTCCTTGGAAGGAGTTTGGGCAATCTACTTTCGTAGAGGTACCGCCTTGGAAACCCAAGGAGGGGTTGCTGTGAGTCTGATCTGACTACACGGCAATTCATTGGAATGACAGCGTAACACCAGCAGTGGGCAAATGGAGTGGGGCCAGAGCAGAGACTGACCTGGTCCCAGGGAACACATCTTTCTAAGGTACACATCTTTCTAATTGTGCTCTCTGTACGTGAAGGGCTCTAAACC